TGCCATGCATTTCCTTCCAATTCCAAAAGCCCACAATCAATTCAAATGCCATGCAAATCCATATTCAACACCCTAAACTACAAGCATGCATCATCTCACCAAGCAATCAAACAAGCCACATGCATGTCCCTTTAATCATTCAACCACATTCCCACTTTCCTAGCTAACCCTACATGCATTCTTTATTCACTCTTCATCATTGCACCACAAATCATTCACCCACATGCATTCATAAATCATCCACACCTTTGTGCCATGCACATTCATAGCTTTCCCAACATAATTCACATACATTCCATTCCATCTCCCACATGCACATTCACCCCTTTCTCCATACCAAAACCGTGCATACACATTTCATTCCATTCATCCATCATTCATCCATCTTCCACCCCCTTTAATCATTTAACCCACATACATTCACAACACACTTCACATGCAAAACAATAACCATTCACACACCAAAACATCCATGCCGTGCATCCCCTCCACATTTCAGCTTTCCAAATGTAATTTCATCAACACATGCATTCATTATTCATTCACCTTGCATTTCAACCCACATGCACATTTAATCATTCAACCTTGCAGCCACCTTTACACCCCATTCATCCACAAACATGCAACCAACACATTTTCATCAACAAACAAGCATCATTGCCGTGCACTTCACCTTGTGAAATTCCAACATCTTCACATGTATTTCTAGCTTTCCCTTGCATTTCCACCACTCATTCTTCATCATTTCAGCCACCTACATGCATTATTTATTAAACTTTTCATCATTGCATCCAGAAAATGAGCAAGAAAGCTTCCCAAACACATGTTTCTTCAACAAACAAATCAGCCCACATGCATCAAATTCTTTCCTTTGCCGTGGGATCCCTTTGGCCCCCTTGTGAAAATTTCAGCTTTCCACCCACTTTCCTAGTCTTTTATCACATGCATTGCAGCCATATGTTCCCTCCACTACTCCTATAAATACCTTGCATTCTCATCATTCAAGGCATTCCTCATTTTCACTCACAACACAACACTCTTCAAAATCATCCATTCCTCTCCCTTTGGCCGCAAGCTTTCCCTTCCATTTCTCCTCCATTTCTTCCATTTCCATAAATTCCCCAATCCATTCAATACACCAACAACATCCCTTAAACCTTGTGCTACAACAACGAGGAAGAGAAGAGTGCCTAAACGTTCATACAATTCAAGCTTTGAGTTGTTGGAATGTTTAGGTGTTTCTTTGATTTCAAAGTTTCATTTTAATTCTCTTTGTGTTGTATGTATGGAAGAGAAGAGTGCTTAAACGTTCATACAATTCAAGCTTTGAGTTGTTGGAATGTTTAGGTGTTTCTTTGATTTCAAGGTTATGAGGAACTAAACCCCCTTTAGGTAGGGGGTGATTCGAAACTATGTTTATATTTGCAATATGAATTGATTAACTTTCGTTGGAATTTCATAAGTTGTGGATTCAATTTGTTTAACCGTTTGATTGATAGCTTATTTATGAATGTTTATTAAGAATGCGCGCTTAATTTTCATGCATAAATATGACGCTAGAATATAAGTGAATTTCACCTAATCGTTATGAACTTATATTCACAAGTAGTGGAGGTTGCTTATAAACAATCGTGTTAAACATATTCTTGGCACGAGTTTCATGCTCATCATAGTAACGAATGCCTCGTCAACACTTATAGTTTTCATAATGCTTAATGATCTTTGATTGTATCTTTATTGTGCTATTCACGTAAAGGACTTTTGGAGAATGTTGTGAATTGCGTTGCGCAAACCCATCCAATTCATTAACTTAAGGAAAACTTGACGGTTAATTTAAGCGGATCTAATTAATCCGGAGTGTTGAGTATCATAATTTATCGAAAGACCAACTGAGAATCAATCTTGTATGCAAGTATAACATATGTGGAGAAGAACCCCTTATCTAGCTTCCCATCCATTCATTTCCGTCAAATCCATATTCACAATTTGTTTTGTGTCTAAGTATTTATTTTAGTAAATTCGTCCAAATCCAATCCCCCCTTATTTTGTTTAAATTTTAGTCTTAATCTTTCTTATTTTTAGTTTTGCATTCTTTGAGCATTAAATATTGTTTTATATTGTGTTTTTACGTTTTTAAGTCAAATCCAAGTGATTAACAATCCCTCCTAATCCCCGGTCCAGAACGATCCCTACTTATACACTTCACTACAATTGACAAAAAGAGGGTTTAATTTGTGTGCATATAATTCTCGCATCAAATTTTGGCGCCGTTGCCGGGGATTAGCAATTTTGCTAATCTCTTGGATTGTTTCATTTCCTTTTGTTTTTATTTTATTTCAGATTTTTAATCTTGTTTTGTTTCTTGTTTTAGGTACTAGTTTATGACTCGGAGTTCTTATCCGATTCGTGAACATATCTCAAGCTTTAACGCCGATTTCGAGCGAGAATTAAGACGAAAGAGAAAGAACTCAGAACCTAGCGAATTAAGCGAAAGCTCCGAGTCCGTTTCTGAATCTGAAGAAGAACCCAAGATAACAGTGGGTGAAGAAGACATGGCAGCAGAAAACCGAACAATCAAGGAGCTTTCCGCTTCTGGATTGGCCAATGCCGCACCATTATGCATTCAATACCCCGCGGCCGCCCAAGGCAAGACCGATGAATTCGAGTTGAAGTCAAGTTTGTTACACCACATTCCGAAATACCATGGGCTTTCCATGGAAGATCCCAACAAGCATCTCAAAGAGTTCGAGGTTGTTTGTTCGAGCATGACACCCATAAATGTTGACGGGAACATTCTGATGATGAAAGCTTTTCCATTCTCACTTTTGGAAAAAGCAAAGGATTGGCTTTTCGAATTAGCACCCGGAACGGTTACATCTTGGGATAGTATGAAAAGAGCTTTTTTGGAGAAGTTTTTCCCAACTTCAAGAATCATTCTCTTGAGGAAACGGATTAGTGGTATCCAACAAAATCAAGGTGAATCGTTTCCTTCTTATTATGAACGTTTTAAATCACTTGTTGCTTCTTGTCCACAGCATCAAATGAAGGAGGAGCTGCTCATTCAATACTTCTACGAAGGACTCCTCCCCATGGAACGCCAAATGCTTGATGCCTCGGCGGGAGGTGCGTTGGTGGATAAAACCCCGGGGGCTGCAAAAGTTTTAATTGCCAACCGAGCACATAATGCACAACAATACGAAGGTGTTGGACAAAGAGACCCCCCACGGCAACACCAAGTCAATGAGGTAAGTGCCATAACCGAACTTCAAAATCAAATGACTAACCTTACTACATTGATTTCTCAGGTGGTGGAAGGTCCAAAAGTCAAACCCATAGCTTCTTGTGGCGTATGCTCCATGCAAGGACACCCTACAGACACGTGTCCTCAACTTATTGAGAATGGCGGATTGGAGAGTGCGAATGCCATTGGGTTTCAAAGCCAAAATCAGTCAAGACATAATCCATACTCCAACACATATAATCCAGGATGGCGAGACCACCCAAATTTCAAGTGGAGGGATTCCCAGCAACCTCAGAACCAAGGAGGCTTTAGGCAACAACCACCGGGGTTCTTTCCCAAAACCTACGACCCACCCCAAAATCAAGCCCAATCCGGCCCAAGTGCCTCAGGTACGTCTCTTGACAATGATGCACTTCTTAAGATACTAACTAAGTTGTCTAATGGGCAGGAAGATCAAGCGAAGGCTATGCAAAACCAAGATAAGAGGGTGGATCAACTTGAGAAACAAATTGGGCAGATTGCCGAGTTTGTAGGGAAGTTTCGAGATCCCGGACAACTCCCTAGTTCCACCATTCCAAATCCGAAGGGAGGTTTCGAATCAGCCAAATCAATCACCCTAAGAAGTGGTAAGGAAGTTGGGGCAGGTCCTACATCAAAAACAGGTCATAACGAGGATGAAATTTTGCAAATGGAAGAGGAAGAAACAAGGTTGCCCACGGCAAAGGTGATTCCACCTTTGCCGCAAGTCCCTATGGTCCCAAATCTGCCCAATTCGGCCAATAAAGGTAAAAATGTGTTAAATTCAGTTCCTACTAATGTTTTCCCTTCAAATGTTCCTTTTCCTAGTAGGTTCAGGCAAATGAAGAAAGAAGAAGCCGAAAAGGACATCCTTGAAACATTTCGGAAAGTGCAAGTTAACATACCTTTGTTAGATGCAATCAAGCAAGTTCCGAGGTATGCTAAGTTCTTGAAGGAGTTATGTACCACTAGGAAGAGGATGTCGACTAAAGAAGTGGTAAAGGTAGGTGAGAATGTGTCCGCCATCTTGCAACGCAAACTACCTCCCAAATGCAAAGATCCAGGTAGCTTTACCATTCCTTGTGTCATTGGGAATACTAGATTTGAATCTGCCATGCTTGATTTAGGTGCTTCTATAAATGTTATGCCATATTCCATTTATGCATCTATGAACTTAGGAGCATTGAAAAATGATGGGGTAATAATACAATTGGCCGATAGATCTAACGCCTATCCAAAGGGAGTTGTGGAAGATGTTCTTGTGCAGGTTAATCATTTGATCTTCCCGGCGGATTTCTATGTCCTCGAAATGGATGAATCGGACCATGCTCCTTCACTGCCCATTCTACTTGGAAGGCCATTCATGAAGACGGCCCGGACGAAGATTGATGTGTATAGTGGAACTTTGTCCATGGAATTCGATGGGGAAGTTGTTAATTTTAATCTTTCTGATTCCATGAAATACCCTATTGAGGACCATTCATGCTTTTCTATTGATATAATTGATGATTTGGCGCAGGATTTTCTCGATTCTTTGGAGAGGGATACACTTGAAACAACACTTGCACAAGGAATTGGGCAAAAATCTGGTTTTGCCGTACCTAGAAGTGTGGAGGAGGCCGAGATAGTGGCTGCCCTTGAGTCACAACCTCAACACCATGGTAAGCCTTCTAACCCAATTTCAATTTCAGTTCTCACTAATAAGTTGTTACCCTCAGCGATTCAGGCACCCGTACTTGAGCTTAAACCAGTGCCCGATCATTTAAAGTACGTCTTTCTGGGAGACAACGAGACATTGCCCGTCATTGTCTCCTCATCACTCACGGCCCAAGAAGAAGACAAGTTGATAAGGGTGTTAAAGGAGCACAAATCTGCCATTGGATGGACCTTGGCGGATATCAAAGGCATTAGTCCCACCACGTGCATGCATCGCATCCTTTTGGAGGAGGGAGCCAAGCCATCTCGTGAAGCTCAACGTCGCCTTAATCCACCCATGTTGGAAGTAGTAAAACAGGAGGTTATAAAATTGCTTGATTGTGGTGTTATATATCCTATTTCTGATAGTCGTTGGGTGTCACCTGTGCAGGTTGTTCCGAAGAAGTCCGGAGTCACGGTGGTGAAGAATGAAGAACAAGAGCTTGTGCCAACCCGTATCCAAACAGGTTGGCGTGTCTGTATTGATTACAGGAAGCTAAATACTGCAACAAGGAAAGATCACTTCCCTTTGCCATTCATTGATCAAATGCTTGAAAGGTTAGCCGGTCATTCTTTTTATTGCTTTCTTGATGGTTATTCGGGATATAATCAAATTGTCATAGCGCCAAATGATCAAGAAAAAACTACCTTTACTTGTCCATTTGGTACTTTTGCATATCGTCGTATGCCATTTGGTTTATGCAATGCACCAGCCACTTTTCAACGATGCATGATAAGTATATTCTCAGATTATGTTGAAAAGATAATTGAAGTATTTATGGATGATTTTAGTGTCTTCGGGGACTCATTTGATGATTGCTTGCATAATCTTACTTTAATCCTGAAAAGATGCGTGGAAACTAACCTTGTTTTAAATTGGGAAAAATGTCATTTTATGGTTAAACAAGGCATAGTTTTGGGTCATATCATCTCTGAAAAAGGAATTGAAGTTGATAAGTCTAAAATAGATCTTGTACGTTACTTACCCTCTCCTACTTCTGTTAGAGAGGTTCGTTCTTTCCTTGGCCATGCAGGATTCTATAGGCGATTTATCAAAGATTTCTCCAAGATTGCACAACCCTTATGCCGTCTCCTGCAGAAAGAAGTGACGTTTGAGTTCAACGAGGAGTGTGAGAAGGCATTCAAGCTTCTCAAGAACAAGCTTACCACGGCACCTATCATCCTTCCACCTGATTGGACGTTGCCTTTCGAGCTCATGTGTGATGCATCCGATTATGCAATAGGGGCTGTTTTGGGTCAAAGGAAGAATAAGCAATCCCACGCCATCTATTATGCTTCTAGGACACTAAATGATGCTCAATTAAATTATTCAACCACTGAGAAAGAATTACTTGCTGTGGTTTTTGCATTAGATAAGTTCCGATCTTACTTACTTGGTACTAAAGTTGTTATTTTTACTGATCATGCAGCTCTCAAATATTTGCTCACGAAAAAGGAGGCCAAGCCTAGATTGATTCGATGGATGTTGCTTCTACAAGAGTTTGACATTGAGATTCGGGATAAGAAAGGCGTGGAGAATGTGGTGGCTGACCACCTAAGTCGAATGGTACATGAGGAAGTAGCGCCAATTTCTGAAACCTTTCCCGATGAGCAATTAATGTCTATCCAGGTAAGTGAGCCTTGGTATGCTGATTTGGTTAATTTTCTGGTGTCTAAGCAAGTTCCTAACACCTTAAGCAAGGCTCAACGTGATAAATTAAAAAAGGATGCACGTTTTTATGTTTGGGATGACCCTTATTTGTGGAAAATATGCCCTGATCAGATTGTGCGTCGTTGTGTTCATGAATCTGAATTTAATTCCATTTTGAGTTTTTGCCATACATATGCATGTGGTGGACACTTTGGCACACAACGCACCGCGTTTAAGGTTCTTGAGAGTGGTTTTTATTGGCCTACATTGTTTAGAGATGCTAGGGCTTTTTGCTTAACATGTGATAGATGTCAAAAGACCGGAAGTATAGGCCAAAGAGACCAAATGCCGCAAACCCCAATCCTTGTTGTTGAAATCTTTGATGTTTGGGGTATTGATTTTATGGGTCCATTCCCTATATCTTTTGGTTTTACGTACATTTTACTTGCCGTTGATTATGTGTCAAAGTGGGTGGAAGCTAAAGCCACCCGAACTAACGATTCTAGAGTTGTTGCAGACTTTGTGAAATCTAACATTTTCTCTAGATTTGGGATGCCTCGAGTGCTCATAAGCGATGGTGGGACTCATTTTTGCAACCGCACCATTATAGCATTGCTCAAGAAGTACAACGTGATGCATAAGGTTTCCACACCTTATCACCCCCAAACCAGTGGCCAAGCCGAAGTTTCAAATCGAGAAATCAAGCAAATCCTGGAAAAGACCGTTGGACCGAATAGAAAAGATTGGAGCTTGCGCTTGGAGGATGCACTATGGGCCTATCGAACGGCGTACAAAACGCCCATTGGAATGTCCCCATTTCGGCTAGTCTATGGCAAGCCGTGCCATCTACCCGTAGAGCTTGAGCACAAGGCACATTGGGCGGTCAAGACCTTCAATATGGATGTGGACGCGGCTGGAAACCATAGGAAGCTACAATTGAGCGAGCTTGAAGAGATTAGGCATGAAGCGTATGAGAATGCCCGGATTTACAAGGAGAAGACCAAGGCCGTTCATGACAAGATGATTAGAGGCAAAACCTTCTCAATTGGGCAGAAAGTGTTGTTATTCAACTCTCGTCTTCGATTATTCCCCGGTAAGTTACGTTCAAAGTGGGTTGGCCCTTTTATTGTCACTAATGTTTTCTCTCATGGTGCAGTGCAAATCAAAAGTTCAAGGACGCAGCAAGAATTCAAAGTGAATGGGCATCGATTGAAGCCCTATTACGAGATGTTTGAGGAGCATGTCGTGGAGGAGGTACCCCTCCATGCCGTGGAACCTAGTCAAGCTTAAATGGAGGTACCGTCCGGCTGCAAGACGTAAAAGAAAGCGCTACTTGGGAGGCAACCCAATACAGTGAATAAAACAAAGCTTTTTCATTAATTTTCGAGAAATTACAAATGTATCTAACAAATGGAGCTTCACAAAGGTTGTTTTTGTTTTTGTTTGCGTGAAGACCCGCCACGAGGCAAAACTCTAGAAGCGGAAGGCATCGAAGCAGGAGGCATCGGAGCAAGAGGCATCGGAGCAGAAGGCATAGGAGCGGGAGGCATAGGATATAGAGCATTCCAGGCCCCAATACTTGGCGAAACGCTGGATGACCCAGGAAAGAGGTGCCCCTGGAAGAAAGACGCAAGCCGTTGACGGTCACTTTGCATCCGACCTTGAGATTCCAGCATCTCATCAAGCTTCCTCTTCATGCCCGACGAATAGTTATTAGCAAGCACATGCAAAGTTCTATTCTCATACTTAAGTTGTTTGATCTCTTGTTTCAGGATCTCAACCTCCGCCATCAAAGATTCAACCTGACGGGAGCGAGCAAGGAGGCGTTGGCCCATGTTGGACACAGAGCCTGCGCACTGCACGCTGAGAGCCAGGGACTCTTGAACGGCCAACTGATCGGACCGTCCTGAAAGCAGCTGACTATCTCTGGGAGTGAGGAGGTTCCGAGCTACTATCGTAGCTGTTGTGGCGTCCTGCATCACGGAGTCTTCAACTGTAAGAGGACCGTCAGAAGATAAGAAAGAAGGGCGCCATACGTTATCTTGTTGCGGCACGCCCGAATCACTGCGGAGACTCAATTCTAAGCTAAGGTTCGATGGGTTTGCCATTTTTCAAAAGTGTTCAAAAAGAAGGGGTGGACGGAGTAAATTTTCGAAAGGCCGGAACCAATTTTTTTTTTCAGAATGGGAAATCTTCAGAGTGTGTAAGTTGGCGGTGATCGATAGCTCTATAAAAGGCCAAGGCAACGCGTCCACCGATTCAAAAAGCCGGAATTTGAGGTGCAAAGTTCGGCGACGCTCCCTCAGCTTTTCAGAAAACGCGTTCAACACGTGGAGGCCATCATCGCAGCTACACGTCTTTAGCCGACAGGCGCAAAGTTCGGCGACGCTTTCTCTGCTTTTCAGAAAGCGCGTGCAGCCTTATCGAAGAGACGTCTTCAAAGATCGAGGAGTCGTCACTATTCCAAAAAGCCGGAATTGCGGGATCAAAATGTTTGTCGACAACGGTAAAAGCACAGTATCACCACTTGCTATTGAATTCCCTATATATGTCGACCTTCATTTTTTTTTGGCAAGACAGAACTGAAGAAAATGCCCAACTCTTTCTCACCTCTGAGGGTGCACTCCCAGCAAAGCCTTTCGAGATACTCCATTCTCTCTTCTTTCCCAAAGATGATACCAGATGCCTGGAGTACAGATGATCCAGGAGGAAGCAGCACAACACATACATGTGCTGATTCATTCACCGCTTCTTCAAAAGCAAAGGTATCTCATATCATCAAGGGCAAAAGCAAAGGTATCTCATATCATGCTTTTTCCCTGTCTTTTCCTTTGTCCTTGATATTACTTGCATGGCAAAGTGAAATAAGCAATCAGCCGGCACTTGGAGTCTATCTGGACTCTATTCCCTGGTTGCTTACCTAGCTTTGCTAAGCTATCCTCTAACCCTCTTCAATACGAATTGGAGAGATTGAACAAAGAAACAGATAAGAGGAGGAAGCTCAGACCTTCGGGGGAGACGAAAGGAAGCCTGCTGCCCAGTTCAAGAGTAGCACAAAGGAAAATCAACGATGGGAGCAGCGCAGTTCAAGAGTAAGCCTGTGGAATCACAAAGATCCAAGCCTCACTGCAATGATCAAGGAGAAGATGGAACGAACACTCCACAACCAGATTTGCATTTCTAAACTCTTCTCTTTGTTAGATACATTCAGCCATGTTTAGTATGTTTAATTGCTGTTTATATGTTTGTTTGTGTTTAGTGTGGTTTTTAACATTGAGGACAATGTTTGATTTAAGTGTGGGGGAGTTATTAAAGTGTTTTGATGCAAATTCGTAGGGTTTTATCCACCATAAACCTCAAATGTTGTTTCTTGCTGTTTTTAAGTGTGTTTAGTGTGTTTTGACTTAAAATTTTGAAAATCACATAAAAATTTGAAAAACATGTTTTGAAAAGCCTAAAAAGAGTGTTTTGAGTCGTTTTTGTGTCGTAGGTCACCTTCCAACACAATAATAAGGATTTGGTTTCTAATTGCATGACTGTTGAAAAGAGTTATAAACATGGAGAAAAGTTTGATTTACTCTTGGTATATGCTTGATTATGGTTATAATGTATGACTTCACATGCAATCATAAAAGAAAAAATTCGTTTTTGTAACATGCTTGAAGGAAGGAACTCTAACAAACGCTACAACCCTGAGAGACTTAAGCCTATAACGTTCTTTGGAGAGTATAATCTGTGATTTCTTGTTTTCTAAAGTCGTTGCATGATCTCATTATTCTTTGCTTGGTTACTACTTAGAAGGCGTTTCATCATATAGTTCCAAATGCTAGAACTCATGCCCATTTCATTCAAAGCATGTTATTGATTTGCATAACATATATCAAGATGAAGTTGTGTAGTTGCCACCATAGCCAAATAGCCTCACTTCCCATATTTCGTATTTGTTATAAGTTTTAACCCCGTTGAGCCTTGTGTAGCATTTATTCTTTGTTTACCCACATTTTCCTCACCTAGCCTAGTTTAGGACAATCCACACCCTTGTTCTTAAAAGATAGTGAGCATAACTTAAATGAATTCCTTTTGAGAAACATTATGCAAGAAAATAAGTGTGGGGGAAGGAATGCTTGTTCTTAAGTATGTTTTGAGTTTCAAACAGAAAAAAAAAAAAAAAAAAAAAAAAAAAAAGAAAAAAAAAAAAAAAAAAGAGCTTGAAAAATGAAAGAATGAGTGATTGAAGAAAGGGCTCAAAACACCAATTCTGGCCCTAAATTGTCTCCCTTTTTGTTCCAAAGTTGAGTGAATTCTAAGTTGATTCAATTGTCTTGCTCACTATTTCTTTAAGAACCTTTGTTTTCCATATCCCTTCTTTGTTATCCACACACCCCAAGCCCCATTACAACCCGTGACTTCAATCTTGAGTGTTATGTGTTTCAATTTGTGGAGTTTGAACTTGGTATGAGCATATGGTGTCACTGGTTCTCGCGTCTAAGTAGTAGCATTCCATTCATGAGATCATATCTAAACATGCTTATTAACTCCAGAAATTGCGTTCCTTGTGATACATATATGTGAGTGTTCGTTTTCATATTTACATCAATCTTCTCACATATACTTAGTGTAGGGTGTGTAGTTAGAAAATCTGAGTGAAAATTGAGTGCATATCTTGTAAGGAATTGAGCAAATTCTCTAAGGCATGTTACTACATTCAAAACATGGTTTTAAATGCTTAATTGTGAACTAGTATATGGTGACTATGATTAAGAATGTACTTAAGTGTGAAGATGACTAAAATCTGTGGGAATGATGATTTTTAACTTGTCATGTGCATTGGAAATCCCTAAGACGATTGTTGGAAGGTTTAGGTGTGTTTTACTTGTTTTGTTTCGTTTCGTTTTGTTTTGTTTTTCTTTCTGTTTTGCTCGAGGACTAGCAAAAGATAAGTGTGGGGGAGTTTGATAGGAGCATATTCATGCGACTTAAACGGCTTGTTCTCGTGCATTTACGTTATGTTTCTCTAGTTATTTTAGTCCTTT